ATAGTCCCAGAGCTTCATATTCTTGTCATCAAACAAACGCTCCAAGATCGCGCACGATACATTGGCAGTCTGGTTACCGGTACCAAGAAACAGAGCAATGAGAGGATACACCATTTTATCTCCAAAGTCCTTGCTGAAGAAGAACATCTTGAGCATAATTCGGATAGGTATAACCCCCATTGCAGGCATTAACCACTTGATAACCTTCAACACCTTGCCGAATTTCTTGATATCGCTCGAGAAGCGTTCGACCAGAGGACTAGGGAAACAATTCGTCCAGAATCCATCTTCACCTTTCCCAAATGCGACTTGAAGTTTGATGCCTTGAGCTTCATGACCGTATTGTTTGAAGAAGTGGCAAGTATGCTTGAAGATTGGCGAGCCACCTTGGACACCATCGTTCATCCAGTCGGTGCCAAATTTCTCTTTGTCAAGGGCTATCGAGGTTGCTTGGCCTCCGGTTACACCCATTCTTTCGATCATGGTAACTTTGAATTTATCTGGATGCTGGGCAAGAGTGGCGGCACATGACATTCCTGCAGCGCCAGCTCCAATTATCACCACATGTTTTCTTTGACCGGAGGAGGCCATTGTGAAACGAAGTGGCAGGCGGGGCGGAAATCGATATGACAGCAAAGTGAAGAAGACTTTTTCTTTTGCAGTTTTGAGTCGATGATATAATTAAGATATTATGATTAAGAAACCACAAGAAAGTGATAGTTTTTAGAGAAATATGTGATCTTTGACGCACAGTACAATATGGTTTTGTCAAAGTCGTGGCATTGGCATTGGCATTTGACTCGTAGACGTCATGATTTCAATACACTTTTCCCCACCCATTCCCAATTCCACCTTAGACATTAAGAGCCTCGAGAGCTTACTTCGCCTCACCTCCGAAGTTCTTGCCTATACGAAGAAAGACATTTCATTCATTTACCAGAATCTCCCTAGAAAATCAGCAAGTACATATATGGATGGTATAGCTCTCTTCGATGATGGCAAGTTTTGGTTGTCCTGGTTGATTAGACTGATGGGTTTGAAGTGTACTAGGTAGGTACTGGTAGATCCTGGAGGTAGGTCCCAGGAATGTTTAAATAAGCTCATCTTTCTTTGATGTAACCGTTACCTGTTATATGCATATGATTGCTTTTGTATTTCCCTCAACCGAGACTTTACCCATCTTCACCGTTCGGTTAAGAGAAATTGATTAATACCTCAGTTCACTCACAACCATAAGGGCATGAGATGTCAAATTGATAGATGTTTAGAATTTTATACACATTTGATATTTGACAAAGAGACCTTCTGATCTTTTGTGAGTGTGCTTATCACAACCTAGAAATGCTTATAATAAGATAAGCTATGTATCCCGTCATGCTGGTTGTGACACCCCCTCGCCCCATCTGCCCAGTCGGCTGGCCCCGATCAGCTAGTACCTTTTGAGATTTCTGCCGATCTTCTCACCGCCATATTTTCATATCAACTCGATTGGTAAGTAGTAACTTATGTGAGTGGTGAGTGGAACGTTGATCAATCTCTCAATCTCCCAATCTCATATTGTCGCTGCGTAATTCCCATTCGATCGGGTTCTCGGGATATATGGATATCCAAATCAACCAATCTTACCCCTCTGATGATAAACGTGCATATTCAAACATGCGAATCACTTGGGTCTGGACTGTTGGCTGTTGCTCCAATCCTTATTCTCCCGCGTGGATGTCTCTGAATTTGCGGGGAAGATGCAGGAATCTTAGCACCGTTCACGAAAATGAAGCTTTCTATCAGGAACCACCTTCCCAATTCGTCGCCCTAACCGTTGGAAGCTGCATAAGTGACGACTACTTCACAAGTTACAATCTACGGATTGACTGACCAATACAATCAAAGCCACGTGCTGTGTTGAGGCGGTTATCATGCAATGGTAGGTCTGACTCTAATACAATAAGTATTGTGCATTTCTCTTCCCGCATGTTTCTTGGTATACTCCCGTTGCGCGCTTCCTAGTTGTATCTATTCTTCGTATAGAAAATGCATTTCCCGGTAGCTTTGACTGCGCTATCACTACTGTCAGTCACATCAGCACACAAAGGTCACAAGCGACGATCCGTCCCGTCAAGTCCTCAAGCATTGAACAAGACGCTCACAAACACAATTCCAAATGCTGCTGGAGGTCCAATTCTTCACTACAATGGCACTGGGCCTGTGCCTTCTTACAACGAAACTTCTCCTGTCCCAGCACCATTGCCTACTTTAAGGTAAAATTACTTATTCCTCTCGTGTCGCAGAACTAACAACCACTAGTAAGCAGGAAATTGAAGATAACATCTTCAATGAGATTCAAGGAATTGTAAATGGAAATGGACTCACAACCGACTGTGCAAAATGTATTGCCGGCACCGAAGTAATGCATCTTGCGGCTATCACGCAACCTGTTGAGACGATTGTGAATCTTCTTATTCGTGCCTGTGAAACCTTTCCAAAGGTCTATGACAGTATCTACGCTGAGACCTGTTATGAAGAATACTCCGGAATTGGTGGAACTGGTCCGTATCTTGCTCAACTATTTGCAAAAATGAGCATGGCGACCGATGATATGCAAGGTTACTGTTTCTATGTATGGGATACTTGCAGTTTACCCCCGACGATTCCCATCGACGAGTCTGCATATTTCAAACCTAAACCAGCAAATAAGACAACAGCTCCCTCGCCATCTAGTAAGTTATAACGCCTTGGTTTACTCTAAGTAAACTAATTCTGACATATCAACAGACCAAACTCTAGATGTTCTACATCTCTCTGATTGGCATTTAGATTCAAGATATGACATTGGCAGTGAAGCTAATTGCTCACAATATATGTGCTGCAGACCATATTCAACTAACACTGACCTTGATACGACGAGCAACAACCCGTCTACACCTGCGTCTCGTTTTGGATACTTCTATTGCGATTCCCCTCCTGACTTGGCTCTCTCTGTATTTTCAACTATGGACCAATTTATCAACAGGTCTGATGTGGCATTCACAATATTTACAGGTGACATTGTAAGCCACGATAATGACGACCAAATAAGTCGAGCCTATGTAGAGTATGAAGAGACGGTTACGTACCAAACTTTCAAGGCTCAAATGAAGAACAGTCCCATCTATGCGACCTTGGGAAACCATGATTCTCTACCGGAGGCTCTGAACACTCCAAATTCCATCAGTAACTCTACGGGTCAATCTAATGTGTTCTCTTGGAACTATGATCTGTTGTCTAGCTTATGGCTGAATAATGGATGGATTGATAGTGAAGCGGCTCAGTATGCATCAAATCACTATGGTGCATATGCTACGGTCACATCTCAAGGCTTGAAGATTATTTCTATCAACACGGATTTTTGGTATACAGCCAATATCTTCAACTTCTTCAACATGACAAATCCAGACACCTCTGGCATTCTCACATTCCTTGCCAACGAGCTTCAAAAATCGGAAGATATTGATCAACGCGTTTGGATTATCGGACATGTTCTTCCGGGATATGACGGTACAAATGCTCTTCCCAATCCCACAGCCTTGTTCTACAGTATTGTTGCTCGATTCTCTCCATCAACAATCGCGGGAATATTCTTTGGTCATACACACGAGGATCAGCTCATGATCTATTATGATTTCCTACCCAACTCGACAATTTCTAGCAACACATCATCAATCATTCGTAATACCACGTTGGTGGATTACAATAACCCTATTCAAGTTGCATACATAGGGCCTTCTGTTACCCCTCTTACTGGACTCAACGCTGGATGGGTTCATCTCCAGGTCGATGCTTCAACTTTCTCAGTCGTCAATTCTCAAACCTACTTCGCCAATATGTCCAACGCCAACTCCTGGACAACACCAAAATGGGAGCTTGAGTATGATACGCGCCAAGTATATGATCCAAGTACCACTTGGCCCATTAATGCTCCCTTGGATGGCGCTTTCTGGCATGGAGTGACTGAGGATATGTTGGCAAACAACACTTTAGTAGAAGTTTATAATTTCCTGGAGACGAAAAGTTCCGCAATGACGGAAAGCTGTAGCACAGCGGCTTGCGCGAAGCAAAAGGTTTGTTATCTGAGAAGTGGAAGTGCAACGTTAGGTTACGCTTGTCCCAATAGCGACGGGCCTTTTTGAATGCAGTATTAATACATAAAGAGTGGCCATAAGCAAATACAATGCAAATGCAAAAGAATTTGAACCTAGACTATGCTTGTGTAAAATCTGTGCTACCAATTAAGATTGGGTCTTCATAGACCTGTGCATAAAAAGTTGCGACTTGTCACCTTGGGAAACCAATAGTTACCTAGGTAGCCAACGGTATCGGATTCTTACGGTCAGCGTTGCACAAATGCATAGCATCATCGAATCTCAAGCCATATTTAAGATGACGAGCATACCGTCGATTCACGAATATCCATCATATGAGAGTCTTCACGAAGATCTTCACAGCAATATCATGGTTGCTGTACCTCTATACTTTCACTTGATGTTACTCCTAGAGAACCAGGTTTATTTTCTTGTCCTTTGATAGAAACAGAAATTCTGCTAGAAACATCATCGATTTCTCATAGAAACATTCATTTTGGATCTTTCAAAAAAACAAATCGCTACAGAGTGTATCTACAAGTAATACTTCTAATCGACTCTGAAGGAAGAATGTGTGATGTGTAATTGGAGTGAACAGCGAGAACCCCTAACTAGTAACTAACTAGGTAGCGGGCGCTAGCATAAAGCACATTAGCGCTAAAATTAACACTAAGGTTAATAGAGTAATCCCATGTCTTTCAGATCAGATAAGCATCGTATTACTTAAGCAAGGGGTCCTAGCATCTCGAACTCATACACACTTGAATCTCCAAATTCCTCATACATTTTTTCCCATATATTCAACAATCACATCTTTCTATATATGTCCTCATAATAAAACAAACCGAGGATAATAAGGAGACATAGATCCATTCATACCATATCATGTCTCCGCAACGCCCCGTAATCAATGAACGCGAACCCCTCCTCGCGCCTCTCACGGAACCTACAGAGGTTCGCGATGCGTTGATCACGGGATCGCAGGTTTATAAAGATATTGGGAATGGGACAATTGGTGCGGAAGACTCGAGTCGAGATGCAGAGGGGAGAGAAGGAGATAATGGAGAAGAAGATGAAGATGACGATACACCGCTCCCTCTAGGACAAATTCTAGGGCTTTGCTATATTCGATTGGTAGAACCGGTGGCGTTTTTCTCGGTCTTTGCGTTTCTGAATCAGATGTTGTGGGAGATTGGGGATATTGGGAAGGGGGATGTGGGGTTTTATTCGGGGTTGATTGTGAGTTTTTGGTTTGTTTTGTTTTATTCTTTTTGGACGGGGTAATTGGGATGGGGAGACATCGAAAAGAAAAGGAAGTTGCAAAATGGGAGAGGAGAGAGAAGATTGCCGTGGAGATATTATATGCTTTTATAAGAAAAAGAAAAAACTAACCAAGAACAGGAATCCCTATTCTCGATCACAGAAATGATCCTCATGGTCCACTGGGGCCGCGCCTCCGATAAATTCGGCCGCAAACCCATCATGATCATTTCGCTGCTAGGCATCTCGTTCGCAACAGGTATTTTCGGGTTCGGCAGGAGTATTGGACAATTGATCATCTTTCGATGTATTGCCGGACTGTTCGCAGGAACGATCGTGTGAGTTTCTTTGGTCTTTGCGTTAATCTCATTTGTCTGGAAGTTCTCGAACTAGGTAATCTAATAGATAAAAGGACGATTCGAACAATGATCTCCGAAAACAGCACTAAGAAAACTCAAGCGAGAGCGTTTAGTTATTTTTCCGTGGCGGGCAATCTGGGGATTCTGGTGGGACCGTTGATTGGTAATTGAAGCTACCCCAAGTGTCTAGATAGATACGTGAGAATTCGACGGAAATACTAACATTCTCAAGGCGGTGCTATGTCCGAACCCGCGAAACAGTATCCGTCTCTTTTTGGCGGCGTAAAGTTTTTCGAGGAATTCCCCTTTGCGCTTCCTACGATTTGCACGGGATTATTTGCGTTGAGCTCAACTTTGGTTGCTGCGTTTTATATTAAAGAGGTGAGCGGCTTACCGACGCTGTGGTAAAAGCTCAAATCACTGATAATAATGCAGACATTGGGCAAGAAAAGGTATCAAAAGGTAGGAGCGCGCGATGGAATGACCATGAGAGAACTTCTAAAATTCCCCGGCGTAGCGAGATGTATTTACATTTCATGCCATGTGAATCTAATGAGTACAATTTACACATCCGGTTCGTGTCACTTCTTTCCTCGCCTGTTCCTTTCCCTCCCCCCTGCTAACCGCCTCCGCACACATAGTTCTATCTGTCTTCTGGTTCACACCCGTCTCCCTCGGTGGTCTAGGCTTCTCACCCTTCCGCATCTCTCTCTTCATAGCCCTCGCAGGTTTCTCGCAAGCTTTCTGGATGATCGTCGTATTCCCTCCCCTACACAAGCGTATTGGTACCGTTGGTATCCTGCGCGCGTGCGCTTTCTTCTGGCCTTTCCTTTTCGCCTTCTGTCCTTTTGCAAATTTCCTGTTGCGCATGGGATGGGAAACGACTTTTTGGGTTGTGTATCCAATAAGTATGTCGATGGGGGTAGGTGTTAGTATGGCGTTTAGTAAGTCTTACCCTTTTCTCATTCATCATTTTACCTCTAGGTCTCCTATTCATCCCCCCACTCCCATACTCCCTATCTTCTCCATTTAAGCTAACAACACCCTCCCTGTAGCATGTGGTCAACTAGCCCTCAATGATATTGCGCCATCCTCCGAAACTCTCGGCACCCTTAACAGCATCGCACTCGCAGTTACAAGCGGTACTCGCGCATTTGTCCCCGCTCTCTTTACTATAATCTTCGCGTATGGCGTTACGCATCAGATACTCTGGGGGTACTTCATCTGGGTATTTGAAATATTGGTCGCGATAGGATTGGTTATTGCGGTTCCGTTCTTACCAAAAGAGGCTTATGGGAGGGCAAAGAAATAGACGGATGGAGAGGAAGAAGAAAATATATTGGATGAGAGAGGAGAGAGGGAAGACTGGAATAAAAAGATGATAGAATAGAATAGATTTGGATAGAGATAAAAAGATAGGTTTTGAACAGGAGTTAATTTCACAGCACTGAAATATCAGGATATCATGAAAATCGAAAGAACCATTTAGAATTCCAGCACCGCCTCAAAGAACTCACAACATCAAAATGTGAATTTTCGTTCTCACGGCCTCATAAATCATATTCATTGCAAAAACCAAAAACTAGATAGAGGCTGATTACGAACCCCAAGCGCTCCGAGGCTATGCAGTATACAACCACAAAAGATGCCCTCCAATTCTACCAATCACTATCTCAAAGCTGGGAACGTGTCATGACAGTATCGATTTTCCACCCGCAAAGGCAGTGAAATAGACGTTGAAGTAGACGTCAAGGTTCTCTCTCCGACCCCGTGAACAGACAGATAACTAGATAACTAACCGAGTATGTTCATTCTGATGATTCACTGTTGATTTCATCTCGGGTTTCGACTTTCGCTTCTGCTCTGGCTTTATTTTCGTTCTTGTGTGTCTATTGGCTGAGTGCGAAAGGGGGAGTGAATACCTTACAGTTCATTGTCAATTTATAGTTGAAATCTAGTTTTGGTTTTCAAGAGATAGGAAATAGAGGAACTCACAACTTTAGAATTTTGACATCTGGTATAATAGTAATCAACGAGAAATGCTTGCTTGGTCAGAGCGATCTTTGGGTGATTATTCACACCAGTTTCTCAGCATTTATGTTTGTGTTTGTGTTTGTGTTTGTGTTAGATGTTTGCCAGTGAATGAGTGAATGAAGAAACACGATATTTCACAAATGTCAGCTTAGCAGGCAGCAAACGATGAATACCTGAGAGCCATGGTTGCCTATGGTGAAGATTCTGAAGACTGAGAAATAGCAAATCTTGATAGCATGAAGTATAGAAACAATTACAATAGCCTACTGCTTAAAATGATGTATGGATGCAGGAAAACTTCAAGCTGTTACCTGCAAAGAGATGAATATAAGACTGCTTGCGCGCCTGTGAGGAAAAGAGAACTCATGTTCAGGTGAAGCAGAATTATATCTATATCTGCTCATTAATGAGTCATCTTTAAATCATATGTACAAAAAGAAACATTGAACATATGATTCATTACCTAGGTTTTAATCCATTCCATTCCATGAGCTTGATCAACTGGATCCTTTGATTAGTCCACTCATTAAGAACTAAATCTCAGTATGAAGAACCAAACTTAATACGAATGACGTATACAAGACAGGAAACATATAGACATGTCAAAGAAAAGACCTTGATAGATCCAACATGAAACGACCGATATCGGTCTCATAATTCACCACTAAAGTCTCGAGTCGAGATCAAAATCAAGACACGTGAACACCCGACGCGAGAGGAGGTGAATTGTCCACCTGATACAATGTTCATACCTTTAAAAGAGGTACTTGAGCCCCGACTTTCTTTTTTTGAAATATTCTTCTTCAATCTTTATACGCTTTCAAATCTTTCATACAGTCATAAGTTTTAACAGCTCCGACAATATGTCGTCCACAAGAATGGTAAGAGAATCCACTCTAGAGCTGAATATCCTGCAGAATATCCTACTAATATATCCCCATAGCTCCACAATGGGCTGGCCCCGTTGCTTGCGTCAAAGATGCTCAGAAGCTCTTCAATCCATGCAGACTTGAAGACCAAGCCAACAATTTCCTTTCTTCAAAAAAATGTAAGAACAATCTAACAGGCTCTTCCTCTGTGCGCTCCTGACGTATTATCCACAGAGTTACACCAAGAGAACTGCTATTGCATTTTCAAATACTGGCATCAACACAAGAGCCATGAGAGTTTTACCTTTAAGGCTGTCTCAACAAACCTTTGATGAATTGACTGCAAAAATTCCAACGACAGTTATCAGCGATCATGTTCTTGTCTCTTTGGATTCCAACACGACATCTCCGTTATTACTCAACAACATTTTTGAATCGGTTTACGCAGCAACCATGGCATTACCTTATGTCAAGTCCATTTCAGAGGAAGAGACACCTGAAACCAGCCCCGAACAGTCATGCAAGCACAGCCTAGAATGCATCGAACATCAGTGCGCATCTCGCGATCAAGATAAACTGATGTTGAAGAATCCAACACAAAATGACTTCTCTTCTGAAGATGGCTGCCGCTTCCGAAAGTTTCCAGAATCCCCCCTCGAAGTCCAATGCATGATATGGGATTTCTCTATGGAAGAAGATCGCATCATTGAAGTCCATGTCACCAAGCGTTGCGCAAGTTGGATGATTGTTTATGCGTCTACTGATGCTAAGAATCCAGCAATCCTTAGCGTCTGCCAAGTAGCTAGAGAACGAGGATTGAGACGTTACAGACCATTGTCCGTTGCGAATTCCTGGAAACGAGACAAGAAGATGTACGACGATAGACAAACTCTGTTGGGGCTTCCATTGGACTTTGTTGGTCCTGAAGCTGCAATGACTAACTTCAAGTGCTACATCAACTTTGATCGAGACACTGTGTTTATCAACTCCAGCCATTTTCGCATCTACAGCGATGCTTTGGAGGTCGGTGACAACACCTGGCGCGAAGATCTTGGCTACCAATTCTTGAAGGACCTATTTTTCTCCACAGCTGGTGATCGAATTCAAAAGCTTGCCATAGACTACTTGCTGGCAGAGAAGTGGTTCGATAATGATCGCAACAATTGGCAATACTGCCAAGTTTTGGCGGCAATGCCCAAATTACAGCAACTCGCCATTGTATGGACCGGACATCACCACTTTCAGCGTGTGATTCAGAATGAGTGCTGCCGCACGAGACAAATCGAGATTCTAACGGATGAAGCATTGTCTGATGAGATGCGCTACAGTGCCAAGTTCCCTAGCGACCATCACAATCGTGTACGCAAGCTTCACAGGATGAAAGGCCTAGGCCCATATCTTGGAGAGGGATGGATTAGCGACCGATTTGCTTCCGGCGAAACCTCCACCATCTGGAAGAGCAACATCATCACCGCAATTCAAGAGAATCGACCGGTAGACCCAGCTAATTATCCACCCAATTCTTTTCACTTTACTGCGGAGGGAAATTCGAGATACCGAGATTTGTGTCAACTGGAATTTGCCGAAGTCGCCGCCGAAAGAGAATGCTAGAATAGAAGTATGCATGGGGATTTTTCTTTTCGAAATGACCGGATGGAATTAATATTAGTGGGTTGAGGTGTTTAGGATGACCGATGTTGATCATTGGTGTAATCATGGATTGTGTTTTCCGGTTTCTTTTGCTTGCTGGATGGAGAGATGCTGGGTTTGAATGATGATATTGCTTTGAGTGGGCTGGTGTTTTGATGTATCATTTATTTGGTCGTTTTGCGGTATTGATTTCTGAGTTTGCATGAAGTTCGTCTTTTCTTTTCGTCCCTGGAGGATGGATTACTTGCGAGGTGTGTTAATGGGAGATGGCCATATCGAGGTCTGAGATTCGAGAGTAACTAATGTTTAATATATAAAAAATGCTACTGATATTGATTCCGATATGATAATGTGAATGTTGAAGATGTGAAGAGTGAGAAGAGCGAGTGAGTTATGACTTTGAACTTTTATCAAAATTTCACTCCAAGTTGCTGGATTGTGATGGAGGATGGACGTGATAAGAATTGTTACGCACAGACCACTTGAATTGCACAGCACAGCACAGCGTCCATGCGTAACCTACGAGGTAATCTACCCGTTAAAGGAAGCGACGACGACGTTGAAAAGAGGGCAAGAACGTACAATCACTGGATTGTTCCGCTCGTGGTATCGCTATCCTGCTCCTTTCTAATGTTACGAAATATATAATTTGCATGATTGTGGTTGTAAGTTGATATAGAGATCAGTATAGATGAAGCCACTTCAACATCTGTTGGTCCCCCACAAACAGCGGGATATTGTAATCGATATCGTTATTGAATCGAATCATAACGCGAAGACTAATCGAGAGTGCAACTTTGAGTCTTTCCCTGGAGATTTTATCTCCCCGCGAGTCCGTTGTCGTGTTGTTCTATTGTGGAACCTCGGCTTGGCAAACCTGTTCCATGTTTTCTGATTTCTAATCACATCCGGATACATCTGTTGAATAGGTATCTTTGCTAACTTTCCCAACAAAAGCCAAACAGGAGTGGAGGCAGAGTTTTGGATATCTTCTGGTTATATATAAGTGACATAGCATCATTCTACATTACCATTCATTGCTCAATTTAAGCTTCCACAAGCATGGCGAGATCTCTAGCCTACGGCGGCGGGATCGTTGTTGCCCTCATCGCAATTTTCTATCAGTTCCTCTTTAAACACGTTATATTTGAGGTTTTGGGTGTTGGACGTTCCGTTTCGTCGATTGATGCATTCAACGCAACTTGTGAAAGGATTGATAATCTCGGCCTTGAAGGTTGTGAAGATTTATGGTTTCATTATGACACCGGATACCTATATATGGCCTGCTCTGATTTCCAAAGTCGTCTACAATGGCTTCCCGCGTTCGTAATTTCCTAGGCTTTATACTTTGTCGGTGGCTTTTTTCTTTCTCATCGCTGGCGTGATACCCCTTGGCTGATTCACCAAACCTACCACAGTGCCAGCCTTCTGAATGTTTCCGGACGAGGCCTAGCAGATAGAATTGGTATCTTGGACACCCGAGGAGATGGCTCATTGGAATCACGTCTTCAGTGGATGACAACCGAAAATTTCTCTGGCAACAATGGAGATGGCACTTTTAACCTACATGGATTTGATATCCGTCCAGATCCGAAGACTGGTACTTTGCGCATTCTGCTCGTCAATCACCGACCTCCAATAGATCCAATAACTGGTACCCCACTCGATGCTGGGGTCGTAGGTGCAAATTCTACCATAGAACTGTTTCATACCCAAGTTGGAAGTGTTTCAATGAAACACATAAAGACATACGCAGATCCTGCGATCCAAGCTCCTAACCAGGTGGCCTGGGTGAATGATGATGATTTTGTGTTCACCAATGACCATAGCCACAAGGTCGGATTTGTAAGTTACATCAAACTTTCCATGGCAGTTTAACGATAGACTAAAGAAAATTACAGCGTCGCCATTTAGAGGTTTTCCTTGGTGGTGGGAGTATTGGACACTGCGATTCACGTACGAATCACTGTAACCTAGTCTTCTCTACTGGTCTCAATGGTCCAAATGGATTAGTTGCAGGGCGTGATGGACTGATATATGTCCCAAACACATTTTTGCACGAAATACAAATCTTCTCACTTACAGACGAGAAGACTCTATTAAAACAGGATACTTTACAAGCACCATACCCCATTGATAATTTGAGTATTGATGAGAATGGCGACATCATAGCTGCATCAATTCCACAAGGTTTAAAATGGTTTCAATATTTGAGTGATCAATCAATCCAGGTTCCTGCGGCAGTCGTGCGAATTAGAAGAAGAGGGTCTGATTTTGATCGTTTGATCAAAGAGGGAGTAAGAGAAGGGAAGGATCTTGGTAAGAGTGAGGAGGGTTATATTGTTGAGACCATGGTGGAAGATAACGGAAAGATTTTGACATCAGTAACGGCCGCGGTTCATGATGTAAGGAGGGGGACATTGTACCTTGGAGGAATCACGGCACCATTTATCATGACTTGTGAGATGAAGAATTAGAAGAATTTCAGTTCAGAGTCTCGGGTGAGTCGGGATAAGTTGATCTAGGTAATTCTAAATACAAGCCTTATATGATCTTGTGGTTCTTTAAAGGCTCTTTCAACACGTTTTTCGAGGAATGCGAAGACTCAACACCTGTACGCGGTGTATTCTACGAACCTCTAGCTCTTTTTCAAGAGTCTGCAGAGCTAAGATTGAGTCGTAGATGGAATCGGAAGAATTGGAAGAAAAGGGGTTTTGGAAGATATAGAAAAGGAAGGATTATATTATGATTTTGCGATAGCGATTTCTACAAAAAGATGAATATCAGCAAAGCAATGCGAATATAAAGATTATGGAAGCTTTAGTTAGATTCAATATCTGCTTTTTATTATTATCTTTATAGGTACGATATGGAAAGTTAGTCTTTTCTTTTTTTTGGAAGAGTCTTTTCAATATAAAGCTTGTTGCTGTTCTCTTCGAATTACAATCCTTTCTTTCTCTTTGACTTTCAGCTATTCGAATACAACTTTACAATATAGAGAATACTATTGCTTTTTAATTAATTCTATACTCTGAGCATCGATACAATACAACGTTTTTCCTTCGATTTTCGAATTTTCGAATTTTTCGAATTGATTTGTATATGGGTTGTAGGGCTTAGGGTTCGACTCTACCCCACCATTTTCAACAGTTTCGATTATACACATCTAATAAGGACTGGAGGATATCAAGTTTATAAAGGTATATAAAAAGCTAGTTTAAAAAAGATAAAATTAAAAGAAGAGTGATGTTTTCTATTTTCATCTCACTAGCAAGAGGATCTTTTGTTATACTAAAAGCAATTCAAAAGGGGATAACTCTTGCTCCTTATAGAAGAAAGAAATAGCAAATTGGATTCCAAGTTTAAAAAGGATTAGATATCGAAATACTTTAATAGGATTAGGAGTAGGGGAAGAAGGAAAAGGGAAAGGTCCCAGTGGATAAAGATATTATATCTCTATTTACACTCCGAATAAAGATCGAACAGAGCACCCCAATATTTGTTTTTACTCCCCCAAAATTGATCATATCTATTATAGATATTCACTAGCATTGCTAAGCTTTTAGAGCCTAGCCGTTTTATATAGTCATGGACTGGAGCGGGACGTTAAACTAAATCAATCAATCAAACACGTTTTTCGACGTCTGGCTTCATGAACCTCAATGTTATGAGCGGGTTTCTCAATGTGTCTCTCGATAATGATTTTCATTCTATCTCTCACATATAGAGTGTGGTAACTAAACATATCGACGTGATGAAGTCTCACAGTCAAGCATCTACTTTCCACCAGGCACCGCTCCGTCTCTCCTCAATCCGTATACCTCAAGTTTGCTATAACCTCTAGTATGCATACTCGAGAAGACCCAATTGCCACCAGTAGCGGAACCGGGGATTCCACTTGCAACTTGCCTCATGAATTTGCTGTCTTTCAAATATATTTGGTTCTTGCGTTGTGGCCATACATGTGCAGGTGCCAGCGGAACATTATGGTCATAATTACTTTTTCGTTGCATTCCAATGCAACCAAAGCAAATTCTTTTTGTGTACACAGCTATGATGAAAGTCCAATACGATTATGTAATTGGGAAAATCATGCACAATTAGCTGATTTTTACTTTTATAATGGGCGGTCCTGCCTCGTTCCCCTCTAAAGCCATTGTGTTTTCAACCACTTCCTGTACTCCCTCTCAGTCTCTTAGCACAATAGCCATCCATGGATATGGACTATTAGCCATTGCCCAGGTGAGCCCAGACTTGCTGGAAGCCGTTACCTCAAAAGCTGTTTGGAGACTGTTCAATCACGTGGCTTTTTGGATACCTGACCATCGTACTAGTAGGAACGATCATCCCATAGGTAATTGATGAAGGAAAAATGAGGAGTCATATATTACCATCCACCACTAATATAAACTTTTATAATGAATCAAATTACTTGACCGAAAGAAAGCTACCTACGATTGGACAGCATCTAGGCTAAGACATCTTCTTTAAACTGCTACACCAGTCACGGTGGTGGCTTCACTAGCTTGCCTCTAATAATTGTTCTAGTCCGTAGGGTTTAGTCTAGTCTGCCTCCACTCTCGTTACAGCTGCTACTAAAAATTAGTTCAGATTGACGCACGGTTTAAATCCCACAAAATCACGTTCTCGGTAGTTTAGCGATTGTCTATTGTGCTTGAATACACCTTGATTGTAGCTATTTATTTCTAATTTCAACAAAACATGCGTGGAAAAAACAGCGTCCTTCGAGTCGCTGTATGCTTGAGTGTGTAATACTAGCGCTAGTACGTTCGATAGTTTCAAAGTGGAGACTGAAATCTCAGTACAAGCTTAAAGGTTTTTGACGGCCTGCTCGTTCGTCATGATCGACAGCCTAACTTGTAGTTCTGCACATTTCTCTTACTGCTTTTCTCCATACAAAGCCCACTAGAGAAATAAGCATTGATCAACCTCTCCATATATCCCCTCGTCTCCAATAAGGATATGCAATGAGCAAATTGATCACATGACCTGGTAAGTTCAAACGATCAGCTCCTTACTACTGAAGTCTGAAACTTGACGTTAGAATATACACTATAGAATCAAACTTAATCATGGATCTGAAAATCTAGACTAGAACCTGCCTTCAAAAGTCATCATCATATGTCGAAATTATGTAATCATCGACTGTCTCTAGCCATGTTGGGTTCTACCCTTTAACTTCGATTCGTCATCGCTACAGATTCCAATCTCTCTAATCCCCCTCAATAACACGATTAAATGGATCTCTTCATCGCAGTTACTTTTTCGCTAAATATACTTCAAAATGATCGGTCATACTCACCGTTGTTGAAAAACAGGTATAGATGCTGCTGCTTCTGATTAGCTCACTCATACCTTCCTTTACCTTAATTTTCAAACAATCAGCTTAAATTGTTTAGAACAACTCACAGTCTTCCAGAACTTGTTAGAGCCTACCAAACCCTATCAAATTAGCAGTCCCACAAACTCTTAACTTACACTCATCGGTAGCACTTTAAGTTCATCTACTTGTTTGATACTGTTCTTATTTTGAAAGAATCATTAACTTTGCTCCGGATTCTGTACAGTGATAAGTCAATTCGAATTAGTGAGTCTTGATCCCCAGATCATTATCATTAGTTACTTCTCTAGCGTGTCTGATGATATCATGTAGGTTTCCTCTCTCAGCTCACTATCATAAAAAATTTCACATATAAATATGGCTCTCTTAACAATAAGTTTTGCACCTGAATCTCTCTTCACTTCTGAACATTTCTATTCATCCCTCTTTTTCTTGAAAAGATTTGCATCTCTATTTCATTTTCAAGGTTATTGAAATCTTTCCTGCACCCTTCCATCCCCTGAAATCCTTCAAAAGTTCCAGCTAAGATGGATAAAACTCTCCAATCGTCTCAAAGTCCAGTGGATAAAGCGAAGATTGATGGTGGAATTGTAAACACTTCACCCACCACCTCAACCTATCACGAAATGCAAGTAGCTACTCCCGCCACAAGTTCTGTTTCGATTCAAAGCTCTTTGGAAAAAGGAAAAACCAGCGGCAAAACTTTCACAACTCCTCCCGAGACCCCTTTCTTTGGAAATATGGAGTCAAATGCTGGACAACCGGCTCCTTCCTTATCGGCAACATCGTCCCCCACATCTAGTCTAAACACTCCTGTGTTGCCATCCTCTCTAGACATTTTTGCCAGCCAAGCAGCCGAAGCTCCATACGCCGCGGGACCGCGCCCAGGAACATATACACACCAGTTCCTGACCTCTAGCATTCGCACTCCAATTGTTAGGAATTGTGAAAGATGCGTCACAGGCTGTAGATTCAAAACTTTCAGTCAGAGTGTGTGTGATGGCTGCATAAGGAGTGGTCATGGAAGCGAAAAGGATATGATGATCTATTATATCCGCGTGATGCAGGAAGATGACGAACTCCTATCTTCCGCAAGGGTCAATGCTACAACTAGAAATCAGGCAATTGGCAATGCTGCCATTGGTGACGATGACGAAGATACGACTGGTTACGATAGTGATGCAACAGTCTCTGTCGCAAGCGATTATTAATGAGCATATGGCACGAGGACAAGGCAAGCGAGGCGAATTCGCTTTTAGGGCTTGGGAATTGGAATTACAAAAGTGGAATTGATACCCACGATGTATTGAAAATATCGACATCAAATACTGCTATTTCTATGTGGGAAGGCGTTTATTTATCGGGCCGTAACGTTGTTGTGTACTGTGTCTCCAATAATCCTGTCTGCTGTAGCAGTAGCAATAGTAATTGAGTTGCACCAAAAAAAATCTAATTGCTTTCATATGACATGTTTGTGAAGGCAATAAAAATTGATCAGCAGCTTTGGACACCTTCGTATGTGCTTCGAAATAAAATTTCAAATTGCGATGAATCTCGTAGATTTATTTGACATAAACTAAGCTATCCCCCTTGGCATACCCAAATTCTTGATTCATGCTAATTAATCGTGACCCAAGCCAGCATCCAATATGGAAAGCATTGGTACCGACTCTAACATACTAATGCCCTCCAAGTACGCAGCGCCCAGAGTGTCGTAAGAAATGAAATAGGATGTATACGACAGTGCCAAGGACAAGGGGAAATATGACTCTGATGATGTACTCGAAAAGACTACTAGCACGTCGCATATTTAAAGCTCGAAATAACTTATGAAACAGTAAACTTAAGGAGTGACATACTCATCTTGAAGTAGTGCAAGCTAGCCTTCAGATGGAAAAATTGTGGTCAAGGTGAAAGAGCCATCTAGTCAAGCGATGTACCCCAAAGAGAAACCACGAACTTGGATAACCAATGATCTACAACAAAATAAACGTCGATCTAACTAAAAATGGTTTGATACTCCCGATCAAGCCCTCCATAGTATAAACTATAAATTAGTGTCAACTAGTTCCAAATACTAATTTGAGAGGTTACAGAAGGAAGGTGGAGCTTTAAAGGGGTGCTTTCCCATACACTAGTCACAGGCGGGGTATAAAGGATCATCTCCTTCTCACCTCTTTTAGAACAATACAACTATTTTCAGCCCACATCATCAACCTTTATTCTGTTACTACCACCTTTAAATACTGCGTTATCATCACTGGATCCTTCATTCAGCGCACTCGACTACATCTTTTTTCCAACGAAGCAAAGATAGAAACACTAATTCTCTAAAAATCATGTCCACCAACATACCAGATCGAACGAAAGATGAAGGTCATCAGAAAAAACCAAAAGCAATCGAATCTTCCAATGATACAATCCAATGGCCTGCCGATGCACAAGTTTTGCGAGAGGCTCTGAGAGAAATGAATGAGGAGCAAGAGAGGCTGGAGCAAATGGAGCTAGATACTTCTAATTAGATACCGATCAGCGAAATCCAGGCTCGTAGGCGGTCATGGTATAGGAGAAAGATGGCGTATGTAGAGGCAATACAAGATGCACTGCTTGGACGGGAACGAGAACCCAAATCTACCAAAGCTGAAGAGGAAACACGATTGAAAAAGGCTCACCAGGCTCGCACAGATCTCATACTACAACCTTTTGTGAAGAAGGAGGAGGAGGAGGAGGAGGAGAAGGACGAGGAAGATAGTGAGGAGGAGGATAGTAGCCAGAATTTGGACATCATTATTCATGGTGGTTCAGTATCAGATAATGGATTTCCATTACCTAGTGACAAAGAAAGCACTAGCAAATCAGAAACATAACTCTAGTTTATTTCCAGATAGACCTATAGCAATTCAAACGGATTTTTCACCCAATACGTTTTTTGGATCTGAGATTCACTTTCTGATTCTTTAATACAATCTATTCTTGATGATATCTAGTTTTGTATTTATATCAAAAAACCTTTATAAAATTATATTATTAAATATAAAAAATTACCTAATATTAATAAATAATAAAAGATTATTATAACAAATAATAAAGAATTTATAATATTTATATAGATTTTTTTTCCAAAAATAATTTCTGAATCTTATATTCACAATTAATCTTTTAAATCTTTTAAATCTTTTAAATCTATATTCTAATTATTTTTATTCATATTATATTATAACAACAATCTTCTTTATTTATACTTCTTAAAAAAAACTGAAAAAAACAGTTTTGTTAATCTTTATAAACTTGAAAGATTTTTATATATTAATAAATTCAATAATAAATAGATTATAAAAAACATAATATCAAAAAATATATAGTAAAGAAACTATATAAATTATATTATTAAAAAAAAATAAAAACATATATTATATTAAAATATTAGATATAAAAAGACTAGATTGTATTAAAAGATCAAAAAGTGAATTTTAGATTTAAAAACGTTTTAGGTTGAAAAATCCGTTTGAAGTATTATATAGATCATTCTCTAAACTGATGCTTATTGAGCGCGAAGTATATAGTAGACCTAGTACTAACTTCATCGTTATAAGTATTGGTGTACTCGTAAATAAAAACTTATATTCTTTCACGGAACAAGTACGAAAATTCTTCTTCCAACGGTTTGATCACATCCTGATATACTCCAGCCCTTGTTGCTACATCTTCCAAATTCACCCTCTGACCTGCTGGTACCCATGGTGTATCCAAACATGACTGAATCACATCACGATATCCAAGGGAGCAATCCTCAAGACTCATTACCACACGGTTCGCGACAGTCAAATCCGTATTTGTGTTAAATTGTTGTCGCTCAGTCTCGGTGCGAAAACTCTCAATCAATTTGCCGGTATGTATCTCTATGAGGAGAATTCCTAGGGCTAAGATACTCGGGTTGCGATGAAAGCGGTTTAAATCCACAGGTGGGTGCTTCTCGTCTATGGCAGGATCGAAGACTGTTGATAAATAAGGTCGTTCAAAATCCAGGGCTCCGGCGGTACCATAAAAGAAGAATATGTGACTTTTACTCCACTCCTTGTTCTTCCAGTAACTTTCGTGCAGCTGCAACAACGAATGTGCGAAAATGACTGCCAGTCTCCGTTTTATGATGAGAGGTAATTTTGTCGATTTTTCTAGCACTGCTTGCAAAGACTCGGTCTGTGAGGCTGCTGATTTGGGTAGTCTCTTGGGAGTTGAGCGCAGTTGCCAAAGCATTTCGTTGCTCCCAGTATCTTCTACCAAGAGTTGGAGGCATTGATCAACGGGTCCTCTACATCCGACGGTATCACATATTTTCTGTAGGAGTGAGCGGTCATCTTTAACAGATCCGCTACAGCAAAGTAGGCATGTGTTAGTAATGATCTGTCCCAATCTTTAGTAGGTACTATTAACTAACCCATTTGATCTTACAACCACAGTTCCTTCTTGCCATCTCCCCAATTGCATGTCTTCTTGAACGGAAAATAGAAAGTCAAAATCGATCTCTGTTATCACTGGTTTCACCGAATTTCCTCGAGCTTTCAAGCAAAACTGTGCTTCGTGTTGAGTTGGACAATTGCAACTCCAACATTTTGCAAGCGCCTTGTACAGCTTTTGCGAGAGTGTCCGCAGATGCGATAAAGGAACATCTTTCGCTCCAGAAGATAACTTTTTGGTAGCAGGTTCCTTTTGTGCTTGCTCTGCCAAACGGAAAAGTCTTTTATTCCACGTTGACAAGTTCTTCAGGCATATTTCCCGGTCTTTTTCTTTTTTCCAAAAGCGTATTCTTTCCTTGAAAGTACTAGTTGTATCGCCTCTTTCTCTATCAGCAGCAAAATCTGTCAATTTATTGAACATCTTGGATTGCCCCTACACTCTATCAGCTGTGAGCGTTCTGTATATTGGTATCCATGCTTACAATATCGCCCGATAATACATGGATAGTAGAATCTTTTATCAACTGAGAAAGCAACTGAGCAATTTTGCCCATCACGTGTAGAAAAGCATCCAGATCCTCCTGGGATCCAAAATAATCAAAGAGTGCTTGAGCAACATCTGCATCAGTTTTCCAGGCCTCCAAATGAATATCCATGGTCAGCTCAGCCTTTCGTTTGTCAGACAAATAGGGCAATGATTTGATGACCCCTAAAGTTTGACGATCTAACTGCACGATTTCCCAATAAAATTCGTCATAGAAATCCATGAGCTTTTCATCTCGTTCTCGACGAGAGACTGTTTTTCGAATGGTTTCAACGCCATGTGAGTATGCTTTCGCGCCCTCAATGAATAGCGGAAGCACGGCTAGGACTAGCCCAGTCACTTCAATACCACTCATACTTATCTATGTCGTTCAAGAATTTCGGAAAAATATAACTTCGACATTTGTTTCAGAACACATTCTGATGATCATGAGGCAGACTTCTGCGTCTACAATCAAAAACCATGGTCTTGAGTAAGCAGCCTTGGAAACTTTCCCTTTGTGGCGAAGATCCCGGAAGACAAGAACAAGAGCCAAATGATTGGTGAACGTGAATAGGCATATCTGCGGACTTGGGAGTTTATCCCGACGTTGCACTACAGGCATGTTACAAATCCACTTTTTTTTCACAGCGGCAACATCCTGCTTGTCTTCAATAATTTTTAACAGGATGATGATTCCAAAAATAATAGTGTATATGGTTTACTACCAGAAGATAAACTAGTAATGTCGCTATATGCGGAACCACGACAAGCCCCTGGAGATTCGATCGCTGAAATTGCTAGAAATGTGGCTACGGTATTCGCACGTGGGCGGGCTAAACAGCTCGAACCCCATTTACGATCAGAGTTAGAAAACGAACTTGGAAGATTCAAAATTTGGGCAGGCAACTTGGGTGTTTTTGCTCCAGGACGAGCATCGGTAGATTACCGGCTTCGTGATGATGCTGATGTTAAAGAAATTCTGATTCAAATGTTGGATCGCCTAAGACAAAGCACGAAACAAGCAATGGATCCGCCGGTAATACTAGAGGAGGAAGCGGAAGAGGAGATTGAAAAGGGTTACAGCTCAGATTCATCATCGGAAGACTCTATGGCCATTAGTTTGGATGATGAATCAGATACCGGGTCCGAAACGGATGATTCACCCAGTCTTCATCGTGCTGATGTCGTAGCGACAGCTCTAAATACGATCAAAGACACAATTACTCGTCTTTATAGGCTTTCTACTATTATAAAAAAGCCTAGCTCAGCAAACGAAAATGTGAAAGTGGCAAACTTCATAGCAAAAGACGAAGCTTCGGCGGAACTCGTAGAATTCCAAGCGTCTGTCCGCTGGCAGATAGAATTCCGATTCCCCGGTGCCTCACCAAACTTACTGAACAGACTGGTAGAAGCTGCAGTATTTCGAAGAAGAAAGTTAGAATACCGGGAGCGACATAAAGAGAAGCTAAAGCAGGGTGTTGAGCGTTCGTTCGCGGCAGATCTGGTACTTCCACTTATACCCAAAGATACAGTAATTCGGCCGGCAGGAGCTCAGCATAGAGGTACGCCGATTTTTAGACAACAGGTAAGCTCGGCTCGAGGTTCTATTAGTACTAATCAGTACTCTGCTACTGAAGCTTCATCTGTCAACCACCTTAAGTTTGCTTCTTATCCGAAATCAGTCGCAATTTCGGGGATAACAAGGTCAGCTGTTGCCCGTCGAGAACAGCTAGATATTCCCGCCCCACCTTCGAAGTCAGAGGGTGAAGTCAAGGAAGTAGTCTGTCCTTATTGTTTTCGTATTGTTGATAAGGAAGATATGATTCAAGCCCGTTGGAAGTAAGTAACCCCTTTGTTTTGAGCTGAGAAACATTGGCTGATTGTTTACAGGCGACACGTACTACGAGATATAGAACCATACGTATGCCTTTTTGATGGATGTAACAAGTCAACAGAATATTTCGCAACGGTAGAAGACTGGGTCAATCATATGCAATGGCAACATGCCGTGGTATGGTGCTGCCAGGTACCCGGTCACGAATCAATGGTCTACCGCTCTGAAGAAGAATTTAAGCATCACTTACGGGAGGAGCATAAAAATGCTTTCAACGAGACTCAGCTATCCATGATTGTGAAAAAAGCTTCGCAGCCCGTTTCAGACCTTTTCGGTTCATCTGCTCTCGCGTCCAATGGCAATGAAGACGAGTCCCATACAGCAGGAGCTTGCCCACTCTGCCCATTTTCGGTGAATATTCCAGAACATAATGCATTATCAGACAATTTTGAAGTGGCAAAAGAATCTCTCCCTGTATCCAAAGAGCTTTGCGACCATATAGCTGCCCACATGGAAGCCATTGCTCTTCTCTCGTTACCAGAACGCGACGATCTCGATGATGCGAACACTAATGAACGGCAATCGGAGAACACGTATTATAGTCTCGACCAAGATACCGTAGATTTACCACCGGTAGCATCCATTATTGAGAGCGACGACGAAGAAATAAGTCCAGATCATGCTCATCATTCAATAGGGCCCAAAATCTCGGAGTTCACATCCAGAGGCGATTGGAATTACATTCTTGAAGATAAACAAGTGAAGTCGGGGCAAGATCCGGAGCCGGCCCGGGATCCAACACTACAAAAATTCGTAAGAAGAGCCAGACGCGACGAGATGTTTCGGCGATGGAAAATAGATAGAATCCCTCCTATCGTTCTCTATGATCCCGATGGAATAGAAACTAGTCCAATTATTGATGGAACGCAGGCATATTCTACGGCCGATGAGGTGCTTGATATGTTTGTGAGCAACGCGGATAACTCCCAACCTTTTGTCGAGCATTATTATTCCGTTTTCCAAAATCATTCTCAATTTGCCCTCGCTGTCTGGGACCAAACGGCCTACAAATGTTGTTTTCTTGACGACTACTGTCAGGAAACATTCAGGGATGAAGAATCTTTACAAATCCACTTTGAGACTTCCCATTTCCAATTTACCCGCATCGATCCATGCCTTCGAACCATCTGCACTAAATGTTTAACTGTTGGTTTTGAATCCATTTGCAATTGTGGTGGAGATGTGAAATTGTATATTGTTGGGAACTACATTCGAGATCCGTCATCAATGCATCCAGAATTCACAAGTACTGTCCGACATACACCAACTCGTTACATTGACACAACCGGGGTACCAGAATCAAAAGAGAAAGCTGTGATGGAGGAGGCAGATAGAGCTTATCGTGAACGCATCATGGCCAGGAGAATTGCTAAAGAAAAGTGGCGTTCCCCGTATTCTGTTGTTGATAAGTATATGGAATAGCGCTCAGTCCTTCATCTGTATCCATTAAATGTCTCAAACTGAGGTGGATAGAAATTTATGTCAGTTTGGGCACGTACAGAATGGCCCTTATACTCGATTTAATAACATGTTTCCAAAACGTAACTTTTTTTGATCTCATCAACTTTTTGCTGAATTCTATATTAAAATAATTCAATTACTTTCAATTTAATTAATATAACTCCAAATTGAAAAAACTTTATATTATAATATAAATCTCAATTAACAAAATCTATAAATAAAATTTGAATAGATTTAATCAAAAATTTATTGAATTGAAAATGATTAAATAAAAATTCAATTTCGAAAGTTTAAAACCCTAAAAACTATATCAAAAATCATAATTTCATTTAATCATTTCTAATTCAATAAATTTTTGATTAAATCTATTCAAATTTTGTTTATAGATTTTATTAATTGAGATTTATATCGTAATACAAAGTTATTTCAATTTGAAGCTATATCAATTGAATTGGATTTTCCAATTTCAAAAATTCAATTAGGTGATATTCGAAAAAGTGCTTATTGAGGGGGAAACGTGTTATTAAATTGGGTGTAAGCGAATGTTGTCATACCAAGACTTGGGCCAGGAAGGCATAGGTCTTTCTCGACGTAGATTAAATATCAAAAGCCCACGAGGTATTGCGTTATCTTTTTACATTAGGATCTTAATGTGGCTGCTGAGAATTTGATTCCTTAACAACGAAGTGTATGGACGACGCATCATCGATATCAATCGTACATGAATTTATGCATAGCCTCTTTGACATAAAAACGCGGGATGCTGTTGTCGGATTTTGATTGGTCGATAATCCACAAAATCCGCTTTCGGACTCGTTTAATTTCATACTCCCTCAAACTTACGGCCGTTGTCAAGGCTAAGCTCATCTGAGTTCTATGTCAAACATATTTTAGGAGATTATTTTGTCAGAGGCTGACAAGGACACACTTGGCTATTTTAACGTCCGCCAACAAGATTCGCGGATAAACGATAGACGGACAGTATTTGACCCGACTTGATACATGTTGATAGTATCGTCCGCAGGAATGAATGCGAATGCGGCTGCGCGAAATACATCATGATGCTTACCTCTTGTAATCTCATCAGAATGAATGAGTATATATTACTGAAGAAAGTTCTGTTCGGATGGATCTTATCTATTCATCTGTACTATTGCTTCGGTACAGCTATTAATTAAACAGACATCTTCGCTACTATTTACAACATAATTTTGATTCTCTTTCACCACTTCGATTTTGTACGGAATTTCTTTCTATATAAGTCAAAATGCCCGGATCACTAAATTGTACCTCTATATCCCCAGAGTGCCCCGTTGAAGCCACTATCTACGGTTACACACCCTCTCTAGGCTTCAACGCATTTTTCCTCGCCTTTTTCACGCTAGCAGCTATCTATCACCTAGCCGCTAGTATCCGTTACAAAACATATTTCTTCGGTATGGCCATAACAATTGGTTGTCTGGGCGAAATAACCGGATACATTGGCCGAATTCTCTTACACAATAATGCCTGGTCAGACATCGGATTCGAGATCCAAATCTCCTGTCTTATTTTCTCGCCTAGTTTCGTCGTTGCTAGTGTGTATATTACGCTTCAACAAATTGTGCAAACTTTTGGCACAGAAAAATCGAGGATCCCCGCAAGATTTTATACTTGGGTGTTTATTACTTTTGATATTCTCTCGTTGTTACTACAGGCTATTGGTGGGGGCATCGCTGCCAGTGCTGGTGAAAACGAAAAGACGAGAGATTTGGGCACGAATCTTATGATTGCGGGTATCGTGTGGCAGGTCTTTACTTTAATCGTTTTCGCTGCCTTGGTTATTGACTACGTTCTCCGAACGAGAAAATCATGGGACCGAGTGCCCGAAGATACGAGACTCATGGCTGCAAAAAGACCCTTCAAATCATTTTGTGTTGGAATCAGTGTGGCTTTCGTCACCATTTTTGCGAGATGCGTGTATAGGATTGCAGAGATGGTTCAGGGTTGGGCAAATCCAATTATGCGGGATGAGGCAGGTTTTGTTGTTATGGAAGGATTGTAAGTTTGCCTATCCAGCTTTATATTGTGAGGAACTGACGAGAATAGTATGATTGTTATCGCTGTATCATCCCTTGCGATCTTTCATCCTGGATGGTGCTTTCCTCAAATTTCTAAAGGGGCCCACACCAGTGGAGAAAGTATCGAGAAGGCGAGGCTGGGGTCTAATTCTGATTCTGTATGAATGCAGAACGTGATAGTATAGAGATCTCGTGGCCGTTTTGGGTGTGTAGATTATTAGATGGGCAATGTAATACGCGGGTTTAGCAAGATTTTAGAGTGGAATGGTCAGTTACACCGATCTGTGGGTGAAAACATGGAATGATCTCTGATACTTGGTAGAGTGATAATAACTACGTATTGACATTATTCTTGTGCTTAATATAAGAATATGTGAAAAGATTGATCTCAAGCACGAAGCATCGCGGCGAGAAAGCGATGCGTGAAATGCGAACTGCTATTGCGCTAAGCTGCTAAGTCACATCTTCAAAGGGGGTGTTGAGTGAGAGCCCCTCTCCCTGGCTACCGCCTAACAGAATGCTACTTCAAATAATGCGGAATCGGATCAAAGCGAGCGACTTTTCTTCTTCGTATCCTTACCAAGGAGAGAGGTTTGAAATGTGAAAGATTATCAATCCATCGTAAGGATTACTAGCAAGCGGATACCACCCATAACTTTCTCCAACTTCCGTGGCCTATGCCTATTCGGAAGCAACTAGACATCCAGCAAAATAAACATCATCGTTCGCGACCAACTCTATCTGTTCCATTACCGGACCGTCATTTGTACGTGCGGCCGTGATCCAGATATGCTTGCTAAACAAAACAGTTGCATTTTTTCCTGGGACCTCAAATTTTTCTGTCACCGTTGACTCACTGAACTCGGTGGATGAAGAATTGCTTTGATAGGTGAATTGATAATTGAGACTGACGCTAAACGATGCGCATCCAATGCCAGCAGAAGCAGAGACTAGAATATTGAAAGTCAGCGATCGCCTATCTTGAATGAGAATGGAGGGATACTCATTTCGAATATTGGAATGAGATTGATTATTAGACAGGCAAAATCGGAGAATTTGATTGCAATAGACTAACCTTCAACACCTGCAGAGTGTGTCATTGACTCAGATTGTTCCTTACTGACGCCATACTTTATTTCTTTCTGGCGCGAGTACGCACCCCCACTCCCATTTACCCATACACCCTCGGTTCTCCATGCGATTGATCTGCTCAACTCAATGAAGGGGTCTTGGATAAAGTCGAGGCATCTTTCATTTGTACTTTCGAAGAAGGAAGTGAAGGGCAGAGTAATACGACACTGCTCGCTAAGTGAAAATTGATCTCCTGTGCTGGGAATTGTACTAGGTGTAATCTTAGGAACTGGCGCGTCAAACCTCTTGAATTGATTCTCGCAAGACAATATCGGAACCAGAGCCTGGGATGAGTCAGGCTTAGAGTAGCTCGGACTTGCTCGGAAAGTACCAGCAGTGATGGGAATATTCTTGTCGCCGTTTCCTACGACGGGTTCCGGAACCGCCTGCCACACGCTACAATCATAGAGACCGCCGCCTTTTACGTCGTCCCAAAACGAAGTGGCACCGTAGATAGCTCGCTTGGCGAGATCAGCTCGCAAACACCAGACCAAATTGGTACTTGGCTTTTGATCCCATGATGTCTTTGTGCAATCAAAGACAACGTCACCCATCGACACATATCCCGGCGGGGGAATTGGTCTCCATGTAGAGTTATCGTATATTCCACCCATACCTTGAGAAATCCATATTTGCGTGTAGTCAGTTGGAGATTTGACTGCGGGGTTTGAATTACTGGTGGCCCCTACGAGGAGGGTAGCTTGTTTCTTGTTGATGTCGTTGTAGTGGTTGGTACCGACAGATCCCAAGGGACGCATACCCCCAAAGTCCCCAGACTGGGATTTCGGATGCCAAAAGGTGGCGGCTTTCTCTGCACCAGTACCTTTATCCGACCAGAGCCAGTTATAATCAGAGGTCAAAGTGACTTTGAGGTCGCCGTAGATGCGAGTTTGGTTTGCCATATTTACTGAAAGCAAGAGTGAAGGCTGAATATAGCTGTTGACGTTTGAAAGATTGTTGTGGATTAATCAATGTGTACAGTGGAATCTTCGCGTGAGTACACTGACTGGCCTGAGAATTCCATGAAGCCCTCTCATATATATATATATATATACACGATGGCTAATGCCGCTAATGTATGTCGAATCCCTCTGAGAACCGCCTCTCTGATGTCAGGGGCAATGATCTACCGAAACAGCTCTTCCCACTCCAACTAAAACATTTGCAATATTTCAGCTCGTTCCGCACTTTTCTGATCTTCAAATTATAATAGTAATACTACAAGTTACCATGCCCATTACATGACTCTAGTTCCTGTATATAGCGACATGCACGGAATCGTGAATGCGTATGTAGAAAGAGGAGCTTGACCGAGCCATTCAGATTTGTGAACATTTTGATAGAGCGCGCGCCATGCGTGCATCATACAGTTCCAAACTTTTTTTAAGCTGTCATTTCAAGTGAGACTTTGTGATACCAAATGACGTATAACAGGAAATACCATCATGCCACATTGATTATACTGATGATATCCCGTTGGATATAGTCTGGTTTCTCAAATGATCATGAAAACATCCAATTCCACAATTGATGTGTTATAATTCAAGTTCCCACACGTTTTTGCGTGATCTTGATACACTGCATGACTTCGAAAATTGATGTGAGGTACTATAATATCACTGCGCAGCCTGATATGATGCTCATTTCATGACCTTAGTACGGCAGAGAAAGCAGGTCATTCTCAAATCTTTGCCTAGACTTGATACGGAACAACGTTCACTTCGCGATTAATGATGGATGCTGTTGTTGATTAAAGTGGCTAGTCTAATGAAGCGAAGGTAGCATTCATGCACGCTTTCGCTAATTGATGTCCTGACGCGACGACCTGCAGAAGCTGAAATGTGTGATCTCGTATTCGCATCTTCAGGTGATATGATTCACTTGGTACTCGGTCAACGAGCCGGCTTCGACGAAGAGAGATGCAGGCTCTTAGATTGCAGAGATCTTTCTACTACTCACACATTAGACCACCTTCGAGAAATAGTTTATTGAACCAAAATATTTTTGTACTTGGTGATTGATGATTCACGCTCCAATAAATGATACGAAATAGCCACAACATGCCTACTTAATTTGATTCGCACATTGATTCTAGACTACACAACGGGTACTCGCGGAGCAAACAATAGGCTTAATAAATAAATAATCGACGAATTATCTATTGCGGGGTAGATGATTCAAAATCTGAAACAAATAATCTGTGGAGAATTTGTAGATTATTTGTTGGTATGAATACAAACTTGGATTACTAGTAGGTTCTAAAACACAAAAAATCCATAAGTCGTCTGTAGATTGTTTATAGAGTGGTATTTGTAGATCAGATTACCTACAGATAATCTGCAAGGCAGATAAATCCTTCGACAAATACTCCACAGAGTCGGTAAAACCTTAAGCGGGTAACCCACCTAGCGGTTTATCTGTTGTAGATTACCCACGGGTACGGATAATCTTTCCGCAGCCTAATTAGTTCACCCAATGTCAAGAGCGCAGATCTTGAAGGATTGCGCAGTGATCCAACAGGACTATGAAATCGCGTTATGACGTAGTGCTGCCAGGATTCTATTTGCTGAAACATAAGAGGTGGTCTTACAATGGCTCAAGTTCTCAGGTGAAACGAGAATCTAGTGCAGAAAAGACGGATGAGTATCCGTACAATCCTTGCTGCTATACTTACCGAGGACATTTTCATGCAAGCCTTATCGAAATCATTATTTGATTCTGTAGGTGGATGAATGCGGGCGTACTATATAAAACTAGAAGAGGGGAAGCTCAAAGGAAACGGATCGATCAAGGTTTATAGATAGCTGAGAAATATACTACTGTGGTATTATATTGAGCCTAAAATTAACCTTAATCCGAATGCGAATGTTACCGTTTTATTCTAATTTTCTGAATATATATTCATTTATTAGTTTCAAATGATTCGTTTTAAAAATGTTGTACACGGGCCGACATATTTATCTTGATAGGAAACTTCCAAAATCATTCTTGATATCAAATATCGTAAGGATCAGACGGAATGCAAGAACTTTCCTGTCCAATATGCATCGCTGTGGAAGGAATTACTTTGGATGGACATCTTTACGCATCTTGACTCGGGTAGTTTCTACTTGTAATTCAGCACAACGTTGGGTAGGTAAGTTAACCAGGTTTATCATGGCTTCACACAAGCCTCAATGAATAGTTCAATATGTGGCACCTAGCTTTCAGGAGCTCTTTTTGTTCTAATTGTTCAGCTTCTCGCGGACAACCTTCGCTTTAGGGAAACTGTTGCATTCAGTCTGAATCTTTGCTAACGCGGGAACACATCACTCTCGCACTATTTCACGAGCTCAAGTTTGTATAGTTCTAAAATTTCAAGGGCGTGTAGCGAGTCGAGCACCTCTCACACTGAGTTTTCAATCCTCGAGCTGTCTCTGCTACAGAGCTACCCGTGATGGAAGTGCATCTTTATTGATCAATTGCTACTCCGGGGTTCGCACATGCTATCCATAGGAGCATTATGCCCAAGAGCTCCTCCAAGACTACTGTTCTTCTTGGCTGCCTTTCCTGTCGAAGTTCGCAGGCGGTGCTTTGAAATCATGCAAGATTGTCTTTCCATGAGTTGGCAATTAACAGGCTTCTTATAACTTGAGGTATATAAAAGTATACTTAAACATAGTATATGTGAATGCAAGGAAAGTTCAACCACCAAGTCGGTGCACATAGCGAAATAGCCTCTAGGATTGTTTTTATATATCCTCTACTGGCTCGTACAGTTAAAATCATCTTCAATTTACTTGACACTGTTCGATAGACAGCCGGTAGACTGGCTAATCAATCATAAAAACAGTAGATTCTATTACAGTACAATTTCTCCTTGGGAGATTTTCGCCAGGGAGTCTGTAAGTATTTGATGATGGTCTCTATTCCAGAAAAGATTAGACGCAACACATCCTGTCTTTAGTAATCACCAAAGATTTAGATTCGACCAAAGACTTTCAATATCATGGCAAGTTAGGTAGAAAAACAACTACAAAATGTCACGAACAGAAATCTTCGCCTTGAGAAACAACCCAGCGGGGTAGCTTGTACGTTCCCCAAACATCGCACCACAGACCGGTCGTGGAAGGTATGATGTGACGACACGCGTGTCCAGAGAATTTCAACAGCAAAAATCAGAAGGTGCTCGATTCGTGGAAATCCAACTCGGCGAAAGAGTTATATATACACCACTTGGGAAGTTGCGAAACGAAGTACTTGAGAATGGTAAGGTATCAAAGGTAGTGCTATACTTAGATACCCCAACTCAGAAGTTTCTTCCACGGATTGCTTTCAATAGACAATTGTGCTTCAGATGGATACACGAATCTTATTCATCAGAGGATTCGTGAGGATCCCATAGTTGTTTTTACCATTCGTGAGTAATTCTCCAGGTTGCAATAACCTCTTAGACTTTTAGAAGCAAAACCCCCAACTCGAACAACTCCGATAGCAAACTCCAAACCTTTCATCAAAACGCATAAAAATACGCATAAAACAAAAGTTAACATAATACGGCAACTCCAATGATTTATACAACACACAATAGACTCCTACCGTACAACGCACCAAAAACCCCGCCTCAAACCCCCAATTCTCGCCAGCCAATCCCCAAGCGATCCGCCCCTCCATCAAAAAATTTAAGCGCCCACAGCGCATAAACATCTATCCATAGGTCCTCAGCCTCTATTGTGAAACAGTAAATAGCAGCACTCATTGATTTTCGATACACTAAAAAGCGATGGTGTGGGCGGGTATATTTTGGAGGACCAATGTCGATGTGTATTTCGATTTTCTTGAGTAATTTTAGTAGATCGGGTAACGGGATTTAAGATGAGGATTGGAGGTTGGGTTGCATGCGGTGGCATGTTTTATTGCAATTCGATACTACTTCGTGTTTTGATGCTGTACTTATACCGTTGTGGTCGCTCTCGATCTCGATTTTTTACTTGGAACTATTCACACATCTTTTACTCGCTCGTTCGTTCATTCCTTTGATTTTGCTGATTCATTTTAATACCTCGAGTTTCTTTTTGCTTTTCCTTTTGCAATTGAGGATTGATATACATACAGTGCAGGCACTATTTCTTAAGAATCATTAATTTTGATTGATTGCTTGTTTGGGTTTCCTACGCTGTTTCATTTACTCTGCTCGTTTCCTATCGTTGCACATTGGCACTCTCTTTGGATACTATATCCCATTGTTTCATTGGAATATCACAAAAACTGCCGTCTCATTGACGTTGACATATCCATCATGGTCGATAGAAAACACGTTAGAAAATCGAGGAGTCAGGGGTACTTTCATCGAAAAAGACCAGATGAGATATATATCCAAGATGCCCAAAGTCATATATTTTCATACGCCAACATGGAAGAAGTCATGCCAACACCCGAATTGCTTTTTGACGTTGATGAAAGAGAGAACGCCTCGTTTCCCCGAACCCCAGATAATGAGGCCTCATCACCCCGAAACTTTTTTCTCGAAAAGCCACCCGCGAATTGGAAATCAGAGGAAACGCCCATTTCTCCTGGTGTAACGGTATTGTTGAGTCCGGCGTATGGGGATGAGAATGGTGATTTGGATGTTATGGAGTTTTTCCAGGCGTATGTTGTCACCTGTCATTGTAAAGCGTATTTTTAGAGTTCTCGATACTTATATTTTTCATTTGCAGAGCGACCTATCCAGGACCACGAGCGGTGCGAATTACTTCAGAAAAGCCACGAGATACCCCCATGTCTCGAAATGCAAATAAGAAAAAAAATCCATCGAAAATTGGGCTTCCATCGCCAAAAACTCCCAAGGCTTGGCCTTCGATCGTGGAGCCTGATATTAGTACTCTTCCTTCGCCGGAAGTAATTGAAAGAAATATACTAGGAGCTCGTCTGAAACTTTCTAGACGGGAGACTTCAACTGGGAAGTCTGTAGATTTTGGACAAACTCAACGTCGTATGATTGACAATCCGCTTGAGGCATATCTTGTGGCACCAAGGCACATGTCAGGCCGGAAACAGACGGGCTCGCCATCTCCGGAAATGAGAAATACTCGTAGCCAAAACAATCTGCTAGAACCAACATTAGCAGCCAGCGGAACCATTTCAAGGACGCCTAGTCCAGTGTTTGATTTTGACGATTCGGAAATCACAGACATTGAAAGCGGCGATGAGTTTGAAGAGACACGCAACGAGAGATTGAGCAGATGTGAAACATTATCGAGTCAAGATCTTCATAGCCCAATGTTCGACAAGCCTCCAAAGCCATTGGAAAAAGATTGGAAGTTCCGTCTCCAACAAGATTGTGCTATGGGTACTCTTGGTGCCTTAGATTCACCTTCGATGTTCTCATCTGCTAGCCAAGCTCCTCGAAAAATCCCCAAGTCGACAAATAGAAGGCTCGGTGAGATTGAATTACCGAATTACAATGCCGAATATTCAAAGAGTTACACAAAGGGTATACACACAAGTCGTCCGCGTCAAACCAGTGCGGAATCAACACGCTCTCAAACCTCACCAATCACACCACCACCTCGAAGGAACAGTCCACCTATCATGGCACCAATCCATCGAGACCAGAGCGAAGCAAAAGGAGCGTCATTTGAACCAGAATCCCGCACACCGAGAACTGTAGTATCGAATTGGCTCACGAGTATGTCTTCTAACGCTGGACGTAAGGAACAATCGCGAGAGCATGATGTTTTTTGGAAGAAAAGTCGAAGTTGGGGTCGCAAGACGAAGCCTAAATTGGAAGGCTGGATTTAATAATATAGGCGGGGAGTAGTGTTGGGTAGTTTTGGTGGGGCGATTTTGAAATTTACGTGTTGACGGACAGGGTTCATCAAAATTGTTAATGATTATCTAGGCATCTGGAAACTTTAATGGAGGGCGTTGTGGAGAAAGATTATATGTCAGAATATAAGGCCTTTGAGAGGGCAACTTGGGAGTGGGAGAATGGAGAAGAGGCTGGATCATACTCCGGACGAAGTAAATTCCTAATGATACCAAGTTGTTGTCCATTCCTCTCTGTGCCTAGTTTCTGCGAGACTCCTGTAACCCCAAAGTACTTCTTGACGTCAAAATGACTGGGCATGCGCGCGGCTGCTCGCTGTCACTACCAGCTAAATTTCTAGACCTTCTTGACAACTAATATTGTTGTGTCATACTCTCATACTCTCATACTCTGCCGCTCTGGCCTCTTGTTTGCTGCGGACATTGCGTGCTGTTCGTCAAACCCTCCACTAATCTTGTATATACTCGTAAAACAGACAAATGACAGGTGTCCAGGATGGAAAGAAGAGTAAAGGGACCACTTGATGATCTTAAAGCGGGGCATTGCAAATATTCCCCAGTTCTCTCAGCGGCACAGCACAGCACAGAGCACAGAACACCAGCGTGATACCAGCGGCTGTTTGCAGATCGGGAGTAACCATTCAACGAATCCGATAATAAGCTTTGAAAGTTAGATAAAATACGGGACAGCCAAGAGAACCAAGATGAACGGACAAAGTAGAGAGCAAGCCTCGAGCAAGCAAACAAACAGGAAACATTCTCTCAACGGCAATGTAAATGTAAGATAGAGGGACAAAAACTAATTCATGTCGATGCATACCTAGGTAGTCAATCAGATTAAGGTTATATATAGCTCTAGAGTGAATGATCAATAAAGTGTTCATCTATCATTCAGCCTTGAGAAGAAACCAATCGGGTACAAAAATCCAGAGGCTGTGTTGAGACTCTAGAAGTGCATCCATCCATCAGTGACAATGACAATACGTACCCAGCGAGCCAGGTAGATACTGATGTCACCCACCAAAATCTGACGAAGAGCCACCGGGTTGTGACAAAAAGGCGCAGGGGATCAAACTGCACGTAGTTAGTCTGGCACCGATTTTATTAGTCCTGATCTGATATTGAGAGGGAGAGAAGAACCCACTCCAAAAACTTTCCCGTTCTTCAACCAATCCCTCATCGTCTTCAACCAACAATTCGGATTATCGTGGTAAAATGCAGCGATCTTTATGTCGGTTCCAGACCTGCAAAAGAGTGACTTACTATAAATGAAGAGTACCAGACCCACATCCATCATCTATTTGTTAGTTACTCGTAAAGGTTGGCGGATAAAGTAAGAGAGGTAGGTAGGTGAGGTAGGCTTTTACTTTGCTCCCCTTTGCTTTTGTTTTTCTGTTCTGGTATCTTTGTGGCGCAGACCTTTAAGCATTGCTTGCTATCGTGGTAGTATCAGTACCAACCTGCTTGACGTCTCATTATTCCATAATGATTGATATGCCGTTCTCTGTCGATCTCCTGTTACACTACTGATACGATACGAGATATCGATCCGCAAACAATTTGCAAGATACACTCAAAACTGTGAACAAAAAGAAAAAGAAAGAGAAACAGACAGAGAAGGGAGGAATTTAGAATCACGACTAAAATTTGAAACAATCCACATTCACTCAACATGAGTGCCAGTCCGGCTGAGCGAAAAAGTATATTAAAATCAAGGGACATCGATCTTTCAGATAATGCAACCGGCGTCGCATCTTCTTCGGTATCAACCAGTCCACCGAGATTGACCCATCAACGACACGGATATCGCAGAATGGACTCCCAAGGTTCAGTTCAATTTTCTCCAAATCTCGAAAATGTTCAAGAAAATACACCTTACTCTACAATTCCCTTAACCGTCGAGGGCGAATCGTCTGAATCTGCGAACATGTCTCAAGGATTAGGAATATCTCGAATGCCTACCTCTGCGAGTCGCAAATCGCCAAGTCCGCCCAGTCCCCGGAGCGGATTTTATAGCCCGCCAATTGGGTCTGCATCTTTGATGACCTCTCCTGCAACTTCGACAAATCGTTTACTGGCATCTCCAACGTGGACGGAAAATAATACATATGGTGGGGGAGGAGACTTTTTGGACGTGGACCAAGGGCAAAGACGCAACAATGAGTCTCTGGATGAACAAGATATTTCTAGGGGAAAGATTTCAGCTTTCACGGAGAGTCTGGACCAGTCTTTTGACACCCCGAATATGTCAAGGTTGAGCAGTATCCATGAAGATCATGTACACGACGAGAAACATATTGGATGTGGGTGTGCAGCGAACAATGATATTCATTCGCGTGTCAGAAGTTGGACGTCAATATCCGTTCTATGCCTCTGCATATATTCAACCATATTTTCCGGGATTTGGTTTTTCATAGCTGTTCTTCGGCCGCGATATGGTGAGCATATCAAAACTAATGGTTCGTTGACGCCGTCGACTGCTTCGATTCTGTTTGCCGGTTTTGCGAAGAGTATTGAGTTATCTTTCGTCACTATATTTGTTAATTTCCTCGGCCAAGTCTTAAGTCGGAGGTCTCTTGTTAGGAACTCTGATGGTGTCACTGTTGCAGAGTTGACAATGCGAACTTGGGTAGGTTTGCTTTTTACTTTGTTTGATGTTGAGTTTTTCCTTTGAGGCTTAGATATTTTGATTGTGTGGAATGTTTGTCTGATATTAACTGCCACTTTTAGGTCATCCAACCAGGATTCATGATCACAAATCCTAAAATTTTGCGAAGAGCCGCATGGTCAATCTTGGGAGCTATTACGTTGACGGCAGCTTTTGTAGCTATGTTCTATACCACGGCATCAGATGCCATCGTTAGTCCTAGTCTCCAGTTTGGCAAGTGGGAGCATGCAGTAATGAAAGGATTGGTCCAAACAAGCTATGGAAATCCTTATTATGTTGCACAGAATTGCGAAACTCCAATCACAAAAGAAATGGATTCGGAATACTCCGCTTCCACTTGTGTGGACATCGATCACGCTGGAGAAGGTGTGCAAATCCCCAAGCAGGCTATTTCTAGAATACGCTAACTTCTTAGCCTATCATAATTTCCTTGAGTATGTTCGTACTTGGGCCGACATTGCTGGTGCTGGAGGAAAAGGTAACTCATCTAAGCTGGCAGACCGCCCAATTGTGACAGCCAACCTTTATGACAATACTACTGTTAAAGCATCGTGGATTCGTACCGATACTAGCGATATGGCTGCCAGTTATGAAAAGTACAATCGTATTGTTAACAATGTTACTCTTGCTATGCCGCACGCTGGTGTCATTTCCGCTGCGACTGATTCAATCAATGGAATCCTACAACCTTCTGATCTTGAAGGTGTAGGAGAATACAAAGTTAAAGCATCGGTAGTGAGCCCCACTATCAATGTTTTATGTGTCAACATGAATAAAACAGAACTCTCGCCAATCATTTATGTTGACTGGCCTAATGCAATCACAACAGACTCTCCAAATATTCCAGGCCAGAAAATGGCTTGGAGTGGTTACACATTGGATATCAATCTACAGCCAGGCCAGGACTATCTCAATAGCACTGCGGTGGATGATATATTTGGGTGGGGCGTAGATGGAAAACAACCTCCAGTTTTCCAATGGTAAGCTTACGCTGTATAACTTTGTGTGTCTGTATCGGCTAACCCCTGTAGTTGCCTATCGACTACAATACTATGACCAATATATCAGTGTACATGAGCGACTACATATACATTCTTGCGAAATCAAATGCCACAGCCGACTACACTGTGTGCGAAATGAGTAAGTACTCCTCACGTCCTTGTTTCTTTAATCCTTTATCCTCGTGACTCGATTTTCAAATTCAATGCGAGCCAGTAATAGATATACAATGTTATAAGCAGGTGAAGATTGCGATAGCTGAATTGCTAACAATCATTCGCTAGGTTCCTTTCTTGCAACCGACTGTAGCACGACATATTCGGCTTCTGGAGTAGGTGGAATTTTAGAAAACACTTGCGAAGATCCCAACGATGAGATCGCTTATGACAAATCCTACAACCCACCACCACCTCCTCCAGGTCGACAACAAGATTTTCGAAACATCATTTCGGAATGGGCACTTACATTGTCTCTCAACACTGGAATTTCAAATGATAACGCTTCTATTTCTCGATTACTTACACAGTTCGTCCCGACAGCTCCTAGCCTGAATACCACGTTACCCAGTCTCGCAGAAGCCCTCGCTTCGCTATCTGGCTGTACTTTGTTGATCAGTGCTCAAGGTGCGACCTACAGACATTATATGGGATACACCGGTACAAACGAAATCGTAAGTCCCGGCGTCTACGAACCATTTAACGCATCAATCTCCAGTCAATCCTACACCTCCGGCCCGGCTGTTCGCTGGCAAAACATGTTTTACGTTGTTCTCCTTCTCGTCTTTCTCACCAATATATTCTGTCTCGGTTACTTTATCCGTCAACGCGGTCTCGTCACCGATTTTACCGAAACACAAAATTTATTTGCTCTGGCGGTTAATAGTCCTCCTTCTCAGCGATTAGGTGGAAGTTGTGGCGCTGGTCCACAAGGTGATCAGTTGAATGTTGATTTCCATGTTCATCATGAAGAAAATTCAAGTCACTTCTATCTGAAGGAGGGGAATAGTAGCAGTGTCTTTGAACCTTCGAGTTTTGAGCTGAAAAGCAGAATAGGCTCTGTCACAAAGCTGAAATCGAGAACGGCGAGCAGTTACAGTATGTTAAGTAATAAACGGAGGAGCATTTTGTGAGCGGGGTGGAATAAGGGTTCTAAAAATGAAGGCGAGAGTGGCGGAGAGTGGCTAATTGCATATGAGGGGCGTTTTACATGGTCGGGATGTATAGTGAGGGACTTGGAAATACCCATGATATAATGAACTTATGAAGTTTATTAATTGCTGCTTGCTAGATGCATCATAAGTTTTGATGGCGTCGGTTTCTAGAATAATAACTGAAAAAATGATTTTTTAGCCTAATTAGTGGTTTATACGATAAATGAAAATTATTGAATCTCAGTGGGTGGGTTTTGGGTCTTTTGGTGATGAATGCGCTTTGCGTCGTGGATCTTGCTTTTATTGCGGGAAAGAAAAGAAAAGGAATGCTGAGTAGTGTTGCTTGTCAATGGGAAATTGGAATCATATCATCAGCTACGACAGAACGAACAGACGATTAGGTACACTTATGAGTGGAAATCTCACAGCCCACAGCAGAAGAACTCTGGGATGCGAGAACCTCGCAACAATCTGCATGTTGAGTAAACATAACCAAGTTTGCTCTTCTCATCGGAAAGTTAAATATTATTGGCGTAGCTGTGCGATTTTTCTCTGGAGCGGGGTCTACGCTGGAGATTTGACTGGGGAGGAGGTGCGGAGATTCTTGGGTGTGGATTTTCGATGGAAGTGGACTGGTGAGGTGTAGTAATCGAAGATGGCGATTATGATATCCCATACCGATTAGAAAATTGGTGATAAGTACATACTTTGGATATGTACTACGCAACCTCCCTAGTAGGTACCTACCTAGTGGGTGGGTTTTCTCTGTGGTGATTAGATGGGATGGGTGATGGGATGGGTGATGGGATGGGTGATGGGGATATGGGATGAATATATGGATGGTGAGTGAGTGAGAGAGTGAGTCTGTATATATTTCTTATGCTTTGGATTGGTAATCTTCACTTCAAGTGTTATACGACTTTCAGAGTCCCAGTGCGTTCGAATGAGGAGTTGTTGTGGGTCCATTTTCTATAAGCATAAGTTCTTTATAAGCATGATCTCT